AGATACAACAGTGGATGTGCCTGCTTTTCCTTATTCTGTGGTGACAGTTGGCCTTGTATCATAAGATTTCTTGTGCATTGGCAGAGAGAAAGAAACAGTCACCTCTGCAATATCTGTCCATGCTGATCTCTGAAAGAGAGGAAGCAAGAGAGGGGGGATTTCACCTTTTAGGAGCTGCCTCACACTACCCTTTTACCATCCTCTTCATTTCATCTTTCTTTCTATGCCTCCACCATACCCATAACCCAGAAACCCATCATTTCCAGATGTGTCATTTCGGATTCCTTTTCCCCTCTGCTTCATTCCCTTAATTTCCCACCACCAAACACCTCCTCTTTTTTCCCTCTATACTATTTTCTATGTGTCTCCCTCTGACACACATCTTTATGCCTCAATTTTTTTCCTGATTCCTATTCTTTCTCTCTCCTGCTGCTATATCCCATCTTCCAGTGGTGACCTCCCACTTGTCAATCCTTTCTTTGTTGCTCCCTTTCTACCTTGTTCCCTGTGTAGAGAAGGTAGAGTTTGGTAAGGTGAGAGAATCCCTGGAAATATCCAGTAGGGATGGGTCATGCACCAACAAATCTGATTGAAGTTAGGAGGGGATAAATAGGACAGTTGGAGTCAGTTAGTGGCAGTTAGAATTAGGGTCTGTTAGTAAGGGAATCAGTAAAGAGCAGAACTCGGAGGGGGAATAACTGTTATAAAGTATACTGAGTGATAGAAAGAGCCTGGGTGGCTGGTTTAGGGATAGGTTATAAAAAGTAACCAAAGGAAGACTGAGAGGGTCCTGGAATAACTAAAAAGTGTTCTCTAGAGAGAAGTGTTTAAAGTAAAAAGTGAAGCATAAATTATAAGCAAGTGTATGAAACATATTATCCTAAAGAGGTGGCTTTATTGTGGAGTTAATGTAATTACCAAGTATAAGTATCAGAAATTATAACTGTAACAACATGTAACAAATAAAGTAAGACCAGGACATATCAACTGTAATAACCATCTCATAGGACGTTTTCACACTGTCCTCCTAAAGCCGGGTGGAGCCATTCCAG